TTCAGTGGATGTGTTCAGGGGATGTGTTGTTCAGTGGATGTGTTCAGCGGGTGTGTTTCTATGAGCTGCAGATCCCACTGAACACTTCTTGTCTCTCATTCACTCCGAGACTCTGTTGGGGCCACAGAAAGAAGGCACAGATGATCCGGAGAAACAGAGCAACATGAACTCTGTCAGATCCAAGTACGAGGAAAGACAATCAGCTCCTCTTTCCATAGCCATTCCACTCGTTGCAAAATGATATCAACAATGTTATTTCCCATGCAATTACAGAAGCTTAGGGAAAATAGAGGCACCTTGGGAAGGTTAAAAAGAAAATGAATATTTTAGAGTCCTTCAAACACAAATAGAAGCACTATTACACATGAAGAAACTATCAATCCCTTCCTAACTTAAGCTGTGTGTAACATTGAGGTAGAGCATCTATCCCAGTACACCTCTTATTGACAGACAGGATATTAACAGACGCCGATGATTTGAAAGCCCTTATACTCTGTCGTACAAGGAAATTTCAAAATGAAAGTCTTCTTTGTAGCTATGAGAAATTTGTGTGTGCTTTTGAACATGAGATTTCCAAAAAGAGAATTGCAGGGTGCTTCCTTCCCTTTTGAAAACCTACCAAGTAACAGTGGGTAAAAATAAATACTCACAACCCAAATAAAGGGCTTTGAATTTTCATAACACCTTTTATACCAAGTAATAGGATGGAGCAACAGAATTGAGAAACTCTAGCACAATTAGAACTTTGTTAATTTTTCTGTGTTAGAAATTAAGCATATGGTGCCATAACTTTTCTGACTTGGATAGTGCATATATTTAAATGCTATAATGCAATTCAACTCCCCCAGAAAATGTTCTAAACAATCACTCGGGTAAAAAAGGAATTCCTAATGGGACTTGTTTCTACTGCATATACTGGATTTTGCGGATCCAGTCTGTCTGGACACTCACCTTCCTGGACCTGGAGGGAGGGGGGAGGAACTTGAACTTCCCACAGGGCAGGAAACCCTGACTGCTCTTAGGGATGGAGAGGGAGGAGGAGAGGGAGTGGGGGGAGTGGGAGGGTGGTCGGAGGAGGGGCAGAAATGGAAACTTTTATAATTTAATAAAATTACTTAAAAAAAAGAAATAAAGTCAAGTGCAATCAATCTTATCTTCCATTCTTATTTTCAGATATATGAGAATCTACTTCAGTCAAATTTTCTAGGCCCCAGTCTCTAAAAATTATAAAAATAAATATAAACAAAAACATAGTGTGTGTGCATGATTTATTTATAACACAATCCCAGGAAATTAAAAAAATTCAATAAAAATCAGTACATCATCTTAGACATAGTCACTTTTGGCTTTTAAGTGTTTAGAAGACTGGAAATTGGATATTGAGCTATTTAATCTATTGACTTGTAGGTAAATATGCAAGTATGGCTGGATTAGCCCTGAAAAGCAGACATCAGGCTTGCCTAGTATACAGAAGGTCATGGGTTTGATTCTAGCACCATTTAAATGGGTGTGGGTTTTATACACTTTTTGGAAAAGCTTGGGAAATCCAATCTGAAGTGTCCAACTCAGACTGAATGAGCGCTAGGTTTGTGTCCTGAAGCATTAATCACATGTTCACATGAAGTATCTCATTCAGATCTCATGAGATCTTGCAGGACTGGCATTTGGAACTCAGAAACGCTGAGTGAGTCTCCCAAAGCCCGTGAGCCAATTTGCAGGAGACTGAAGAACTAAACTCATAGTACCTGCCTACAAAAAGCCCAATGCTTGGATATTTTTAGCTGCAGACTTCATTCATGCAATTGAGTTACATAAATATAAAACCTCAGACAAGCAGTTGAATAAGAAAGGTATTCAAACAAGGTAGAGGCTAAATGTGGTGGCAGTGTTCTCAAATCTTAGGCTGTCTCAGTGATTTTACATCTTCTATGACGGACAGGGCCCGCTGGCCTGTTAGCACAGATTAGTCATTTGCATATGAATATAATATTGAAAGATCCTGTTTGCTGTTTTCATAAGTTTGGAAAAGCCTTTGTCGTGAAGCCTACAGAGGAGGAGAACCACTTCAGAATAATTGTGAGGCCCATTTCCTCCCCTACTTCCTTCAGTACGTAATTCCTTAGGCTTCATTTTTTAAATGAGGCTCCTAATATCCAATACAACATGGCTTTGGTCAGAAAAACACAAGTCCTGGTTATATGATTCAGGTGTGAATAAACCAAGTAAAGGAAGAGCAATGGTTGATATGCTGTGGGGAGGTAGCACTGGGTTAGTGGTGAGCAGTTGGGAATAAACAGGAGAATTCGGTAAAGTCAAAGTGAGTTCTTGACTCCTCAGTCTTAAGGGGCTTCTTCATTTTCATTTCAGTCTTAAATGTTCACATCTCTGGAATTCACCCCTGTTGCTAAAATTCTTCCTTCTCAGGATCTAAAACGTTGGATTCAAGTAAGGTTACTGTATAAAAAATCAACATGTAGATTCTCACTTACAAAATTAAAATTGTTGGAGATGCAAAATACAATGCAGTATCCTCATGTTTATGTGGAGAGAGATTTAATAGTATCCAGGCCATTAATAATTGATAAATTATGGAAATTAGTCAGCATACTTTAGCTTCTAAAACTCACACTTAAGGAAAAACTACTTGTGTGCTTTTAAAAATGTAGAGATTAGTTTAAATATCTTTAATGTGAGTTTAAGTATTCCAGTGAAACTATGTAAAGGTACAATATTTCAGGAATATTAGCTGACATTGTAATCTGAATAATGATATAAAATTCAAAACCGAATTTCTCCACACCATCAGACGAAGTTGCATGAGGTCAACCCCTCAAATTTATAATGCAGATAGAAGGGTTTGAATTCGCCTAAATGATGGCTTTCACTAAAAATTACAGAAGTCACCATTGTGGTACCAGAGGCTGCTTTATTACCTTAGCAGCCTTCACTAAGTAAATGGCTGAAAGCTTGAGACATGGACTATCATATTTGCATTTAGACTGGAAGAAGTAGTTGGTAAAAGATCATAGGATATGTGAATATTGGGAAATCAGTCTTCTGTGCCAGGAAGTTATTCTCTCTCCAGGTACTGCACTTAAGGAATCTG